ATTAAGGTTCCCTAAGTATATTAGAATCTTATCTATTAGTATTCCCAGCATAGTATTTAGTTATAATATTAGAGGTTATGCTATATTTATAGGGTCTTTTCCTATAAAATCCAGTTATTTACTCAGTGTATCAGGCATGATAGTATTGGTATCCTTCTAATATTAAATCTTCAGGTTATATTCTTAGAACTTTTTAATTTATTAGGCTAGGCGCTTTGAATTTCTCTTTGTTATATTTAGATATTGAAGGCTATTATAGTCAGTGATTATAGTGGTAGTAGTGCTGTTTTCTATATAGCACTTCTATTGCTATATAGCTTCCTTAATAGTGAGTAACTCCTTCTTCTATACAGGATAGTTTTATTCTGTAGGGCTTATCTTCCTGCTGTTAAAAGCTACAGGATGCCATTTACTATTTTTCCCTTGCTGTAGGAGAACTATTCCAATAGCCTATTCTGAGATATCTATCTCTATACAGAAAGACTTATGGATATCTACTAAAACTAATACTAGGACAGAAGTAAGAGCTTTCTTTAGTTATCTAAATATAAGCTTATATAATACTGACTATATAATGGCTTAGAACTTATTTAGATATTTAGTTATATCTTCTTTCTTCAGTAACTCATGTAATGGTACTACTATTCTTATAAATCCTTCTATAAAGCAGCAGTAATATATTGCTAGTCCTAGGAATTATTATACTTTATATATATTTCTTAATTATAGCTACTCCTTAATAATGTTAAGCTTTACTGATAGAGGCTATATAGTTTCCTGTTCTATTATATATCTGCAGAACTCTCACTTCTTTTTAAAGAAAAGATATTTGCTAGACTATATATATAAGTGTTCTTGTTATAGCACTTCCAGAATCTTATATAGATATTTCTAGTATTCTTTCTGTATCTTAGAGAAGATTAGGATATTATCTAGATAGACAGTATAAAAGTTATTTATATAGGGAGACAGTATTCTATTTATTATTATCTAGAATATTATTAGTATATTATATAGGCTAAAGAGTATAGCTAATTATTTAAACTTTCTAAATATTATATTAAAGACTATCTTAGATATTAAGGATTTATCTATTCTAATTTACTAATATCCTGATAGAAGATCTATTTTTAATAGATACTGAGATTATTCTACTATATTAATTAGTTCTTGAATTCTTAGTAAAGAATAGCTATTCCTTACTGTAATATTATTTAGTACTTGATAGTCAATATATATTCACCATTTTCCTTCTGACTTCTTTACAAAAATAACAGGGAAACCCTATATAGAGGCTAATAGTTATATTAGTCCTGTTTTTATTATTTCCTGTAGCTATACCTTTAGCTTCTTAAGCTTTTCAGAAAATAGTAGGTAGGTATTAATATTGATCAGGTGTGTATTACTGGTAACTATCTTATATATCAACCCTTGCTCAGAAGATAAGATAGAGAGTAGTAATTCTTGAAAAACATTACTATATTCTTTTATAATAGAGATAGTTATTAGATTTACTATACTCTTCTCTTTTCTATTATCTGCTATATATATTAAGGAGAGAGAGTTTCTTCTTCTATCTTCTTATAGCTTTCGCGACTTGTCTTGCTGAGATAAGATTAAGAAAACTAGTAGCAGTATAGATATACTGTCTAGGGTTACTTAGTACTATCTAATAGAATTATCTCTAATAGTCTTATAGGGTTATGATACCTGTCTGCCAATTAATTAGTAGATTAGTAGTTCTTAACCAGTCTCTACTGAGTATAATATTATACTTATCTAATACTATCATCTATACTTGGACTTATTCTGTCTATTCTTCTAGTTATAGAGAAAGAGTATAGATATCACTTATCTTTATAGTAGTACTATTAGATAGGTTTACTAGTAAAGATATTTAAGCTTATCCCTACTATTTTATTTCTGCTAGAATCAATCCCTGTGCTATAAAGGTATGGCTAGTCCCTGAGTCTACTAAGATATATATTATCTTCTGTGTTAGTCCAGTGCCTAAGAATCTCTTATAGCAGGATAGGGAGTTATCTAACGCGTGAAGGTGTCTATTCTGGTATCAGATCTGCTTTATATTATATATAGCTTTAATATCCTGTCTATTTAGTGGATCAGGTATCTTAAACTTATTATTCTTTTCCAGGAAGGCTTCTGCTATTTAGTTAACTAGTCCTTCCTTATCTAGTGACTATATACTTTTTTCTCTTTACTAATACTGGTATTAGATTTTAACTAATATTCCCGCGCAATATACTCTCTTTTATTATAGTGATAGTATTTAGAGCCTTGTCCAGACCTATCTCTCTCTCTTGGTATTTGGTAATCTCTATTTCAGCGGTTATCTGACCTGTATAGTGTATTTAGATCTATTAGATTGATATATCAATTATCTGCTGCTGGCTGCCAGTTACTGTAGATTAACTAATATTGGATATGGTTAGCTATAGTGATGCCTTGCTTATATTAAATAAACCTTTATACTATTCTATTAAAGATAGTAGAAGAATTCAGTTTGCGGGTCCACATAGTGTAAAGAGATTTTTTAGTTCTGATAATAAACTTCTATATATAAATATATTCTAGTAATAATAGTAAAATATAAGTCACTACTTTAGTAAGAGTACTTATATAGGCCTGTACTATCTTTATACCTTATATATATTGTTTATAGGCTTCTTACTATTTTATCTTGCTAAGATACTTGCTAAAGTTATTATAGACCTACTGCTTTAGCTTGTTAAGTGTGGTAATAGACTGCTCTATTCTGGCAGCTATATAATTTTCTCTGGCCTTCTAATACTCTCAGATACTTCCAGTAAACTTTTACTTAATAATAGTTATCTTTTTAAGGTCTGTAGTATTTTTCTATACTAGGATTTATTTATTCTTAAAGAACTGATTAACTTATTATAGCTATTTTTTAGCAGTCTCTTGCTTGTACCTGCTATTATAGTAGAGGATTTACTCTAAGTTTAAGATCTTTTGATATAGCTGTTCACTTACTATAGTTATTAGTTCTGAAGCTGGTATTGCTATTCCAGCAGTAGCAGTGGTCTGTGATTGTTCTACATACTGGAGACAGGTATCTATAGTATATTGTAATTACTTAATCACTCCCTGTGCTTCCTTATTTCCTGCTAGAGTCCCTAAATAGGCAAGCAGCTGTTAGAGTTCCTGGTCTGATATTGTAGTAATAGCTTTAACAGATAGCAGGTACTGTTTCTTATAGATTTTTATTAGATTATTTCTTTAATGGAGTCTCTTTTCTTTTCTTAAGTTATTCACTACTCTTTATAGGTGACCTGTTTCAGCAGCGTTATCTAGCTTATAAGGTCTATCATGCCTTGCCTTTAACCTACAGAATCTAACTGAGTATTATGGGGCTTTATAGGCTAAGATCCGGAACTCAGCCTCCCTTTTTAGATATGCTACCAGATATGATTATAAGTAGCGGTAGGCTAAGGTAGATAGAGAGTTACCAATTCTCCTACAAAAGATAGGGGATCCTTACATCTTTATATACATGTAGATATTCCCTTCACTTCCCAGGTCACGTGCTTAGCTGCCTCAGGTAGCTATACCCAGTAGACAGAAGTACTTAGCTATCACGTGTAGCCAACGTACGACATAGGATTACATATCTATAGACTAATTTTCAGCTAGTTAATAATAACAAGAAGAATAATTCTAGTAATATTTAAACTGAAATCTAAGGCTAGCCAAGTAAATGATAATATATAGCTACTAGAGAAGAGAGTTAAATAGAAGAATAGCTAGTAAAATAGTCTTATAAATCAGATAATAAAACTAAATATCTATTACCTGAGAATAATATATTAATATGGGGTTCTAAGAGAATTTATAAGGCTTTAAAAGAATTTAAAAACTATAAAATCAGTAAACTATAGTAATATAGCTTAATAAATAACTTCTAAGAAGTATTATTTACTTTATTATATAATCTATATCTTATACCTGTAATATGACTTCTATATATCTTAAAATAATAAAATACAGATATAATAAGTATAAATTATATAGTTACAAAAATAGCTATATTTATATTGTTTGCCTATTCATAAAGTATCCAAATCTAAACTGCGGATACCATTTACTATCCATATTGTATTGTTGCGGATATATGGATAACAAATTACATCCAAATCCGCGGATATGCGGATTTGGATATGCGGATTTGGATATGCGGATTTGGATATGTCGCGGATGCTGCCCCAGCCTAGTGTTGATAGGCCAGGCAGAATTCAAGCCGTTTTCTGCATATTTCTTCAGTAAGACCAGGTTTAGTAGTTGGTTTGGCTGAGTGGAAACCTGCCTTTCTAAGAATTCACCAGGCAGAGGCAGGTGATATACCAGTTTCAAAAATACTTACAGCTTTTTTCTCGGCCGTTTTTATCTTTCTGAATAGCTTTAACTACTGCCTGCTTAATAGAATCAGCTATTTCAGGCCTACTAGACCTAGGATCATCCTCTAGATATTCAACTAGGATTCTAGAATCCTTAGTAGAATCAAAACCACGCGCTTTGGCCTTTTGATTCTAAAAGTAGATCGCTGAGTGAGGTAGGCCACTAAGCCGCTCTATTTGAGCAATATCAACCTTTGTATTTAATAGTGAAATCACTTAAATCCTGACCCCTAAAGGATAGTGCTTTCCAGGCATTCTGGATAGGTAGGCAGGTAGGCAGGTAGGCAGACAGGTAGGTAGGCATACTGACCGGTAAGAATATCAAAACACCAGAAATCATGAATAGGGATCAAATCCTCTATTCTGAATAGCTTCATATTGCTTTTTCCCTCTGAAAATGATGAAAAAATGATCTATCAGCTATATGAGTTTGATTATATGGCAATTTGTATGGTAAAGCCCTTACCGGGTTGACTGCCAAGCTTACTAGCGTAGTTGGAAAACTTTTGCAACACAGCTCCGTAGAGGTGTTGAGCTTAGATACCCGCTCACGACTTCCGTTACGCGAGTCTTAGTTTCGAGGCTAATGAAAGACTGTCCTGTTAAAACGGCAGGATATCTATCAACTATAAGTTGTGAGTACCTCGGACCTTGAATTTTCTGTTTGTTATTATTATTGGTGCATGCTTTGCAGCAGCCTTGCATTAGTCTCGAGACCAGGCCTCGTCCAACGGAAGTAGAGCCGTGAGGGGTATCGAGAGCCCCCATTTCACCCTTTTTTTTCCCCTCGTAAACTCCTCTTACGGAAAATGTCTATCAGCAAACTCACCAATTCTGCCCTTAACTTTGGTCTTGAAGTTTCACCTGCCCTGGCAAATCTTAATTTCGATTTCTCAGTATTTAGATTGAACGTCGAGCCTGAGTATCAGGCCATTGGAGAAGCTTTGTCATGTAGCCGTCGTCGTGAAGCAGAGCAAGGCCGACCACAGGTGACAGCAAGAAAGCTTGCTCAGCTGTTTGCTGCGTGTCTCCCCCGTGCGCCCAATCTGATCAAGGCTTACGGAAAGCGAGCATCCGAGATTATTGAGGATTCAAAAATCAGCAATGACCAACGAGCCAAGTATGGAGTGTTTGCCGAACAAGCTGGGCCGGATGCGACTAGTTTATGGGCGGCTTCAACATCCGGAAGTCATGCAGTCGCAGTTCATCTGCTAGCCTGCATGCTGGCCAGAATGTGGGATGCTGCTTATGCTGTCTCTATCTGGGTGGAAATTGTTGAAGAAAGACGAAGGGAAATTGAGAAAGAGCTGGAAGATACGAGCTTTGCTCATACTGCCACCCTAGTGGCGGCTAGATGCGAGATCTCGAGGGAACAGCTGGCCGAATGGGATGCCAGCACTCGTGCTTGGCTGAGAATAGCCGACAAGTCTAAGAGCGAGCAAGTCAAGAACCTCTCATTGATAATGGATCAGGTTCGCCTACCAGTCAATACAGAGGAGCAAACATTTGCAAGTGTCATGGGCGCTTGGAAGACCTCTTTGATCAACATGGATGCTCTGCTTATTGGTAAATCTCAGGGCGTTAAAAGTGGTGAGCTTTTGTTAGCAGCCTACTCCTGGCATCTATTCCCCTACATATCTTCAGTGTCGACTGTTTCAACTGGTTTTGTCGATAAAGATCCTCTATTCCCGTCAAGCGCCACGATAACCATTGGCTTGGACGAGAGTCCAATGGTCAGGTTACCCAAAGACAAAGCACTACGGCAGAGTGTTTACTGGTCCCTGCCACTTGCCCGTGTGCGACAGTACGGTCCCCCGATAAGATGTATGGGTACTCTAGATAGTCGGGAGAGAGATCGACTCTCGGTAAAGGAATTCCTTCACGTTTTCCTAGGTTCTTATTTGCGAGGCTGGAGGGAGATTGGTTTACGCACCAAAGCAGCTGTCGGGTTGTTGTCAGAGGTAGAAGTCTTACTTGCCCAAGCCGCAGCGTTTCCAGATTGCCCAGAGGCAACAGCACTTATAGAAAATCCAGAATCCTGGTTGGCCCTTCTTTTTGAAGCTGCCAATGAATATCGCACATCTGTTGGAAACCAAAGACTCAGGGCTGACAGTCTTGTATCTCTCGGTCGGAGATATGCGGATGAATTTCTGGGAACACAGTCGGTATCGTTAGCTGATCTCTTACGCCAAGGACAGTTTGTAAACCTAGTGAATGAGGAGGAGGTGAAAATTCAGTTCCTTCGCAAAGTTGCATTGGAAATGTCCGAGCTGTTAGGACACAAGAATCTCATTATTAGGTGCAAGCAGTGCTACGGGTCAACCGATGTTTACGAATATGCGACCGCTCTTCCTCTTGACATGGAAATAGTGAACACTGAAGATGGCGACGGGAACGAGAAGAAGAGAAAGCTCTATCAGTTTCTGGATAATTCCGGGCATCGACGATGGCTGTGTGCGGGTGGAGGCCTCTGGCAAGAATTTCAAAAGATTGATGGCGCATTCTACACATATGAGGAAGAAAGAGACCATACAGCATTCAGTTCCATTGATGAATTCTTCAGCTTCGAAGAAATGGTATTCCCGGAGGTCGACCAGCGCCAGCTAGTGGATGAGACATATCGGAAGAGAAAAGCAAGATACGAGTCGCTTGGGGAGGTCATTCTCAAACGCGAAGACTTGACTCTTTCGAACCTCGCCAAAGTGAGTAACTTTGAAAGTAACTATCTACATCAGACAAGCCTTTCCAAATACACGTTTCTATACGGTGACGAGCATTCGACGGCCCTCTTCGTCCTTGGAAACACGCCAAAATCTCTAAGCAAAGATTGGATATCCAAGACGGATTTGCGGCACTTTTCTTCTCTTTCTGAATTGGGATCAATATGCCCAAGTGCCTTTGCGCGCAGCATGTACGGGACTTTAGAGTTACCGGGCGGATTGGATAAAGACACTGGTGCTCATTCTTCGACAGCCCTCAAGGCAGTGTCAATCATAATGAAACTATACAAGTCACTCCCTACGGCGACTATCGATGTTCGCATTCTTCAAAAGTATGTCGTCGACTCGTGCTGGTTCAGAAAGTATGAGAAACGGCAAAAAAACGTGTTTCAAGATGCTCCAACTATACCGGAGTCTCTCCAGCCCTATCCATTGTTGGTCAAAGAACTGGAGCGCGACGGACCAGATTCCCATACACAACAGCTAATGCGAATACCAGAGTCCTTCGACATTGGTCCCTTGGACTTGACTGAAGCCTTCTCCTGTATTGCCCTTTTTGATTCTGGAAAGTACGATGTACATCCAGAAGCGTTAGAGAACACCATAGCCATGTCGTCGACAGACTCATTATACGTTTCCGCTTCTATCTTATCTGACCCGTGGGATCAACATCGAATTCGGGGTATCGTTCATATAGAAGGGAACATCGGCCGCCCTGGTGTTTCATTTCTTGTGCCGCCACCAATGCCCATGGTCAAGGATGTTAGGATTAGTGAATGGCCACAAATGTCCGACCAGGTTTTTGACGGGAATCTTAAGGATGAGTTCTCGAATACATCCTTACATTTAAGGTTCACTGGAGACAGCTCCAAAGTAGATGCTGGCTCTAGCCACGTCCAGGACTCAATGGTACAAGCTGGAGACGCTCATCTCGCTCCATGATAATAAAGAGTGGGTGGCCGATTTGGACATCAACAAATCCCTCCAAAGCTCTACTTTACGAAGAGTCGGTGTTTGCACGAATAATCTTCATCTGCCGGGACACGAGCCGCAGCGTGTCTTAATGTGTGTTGACAACTGGAATGAGTTGGTAAAGCCCCCAGCTGAAGAAGGTATAAGCCTTGTCCGCGCCCACAGGAATTGGGAAGCACGATTAGCTGCCTCCGCGCTTAGTGTGTCACTGGGCTACACTGCCCTGATTCTACCAGAACACCTTTGTTGGCAATGCTTTGAAAAAGAACTGGAACAAGTACAAGATAGCAAACGAGTGGTTATAGTGTCTTAAGGCGGGTACTCATATTCACTTACGATTTATAAGCAACGGGCCTACTTGGTGACAATGATAAAGGCATGGGATTCTCCTTACCCATTGCAATTCATGATAACAAGCTTGTCGTATATTGATAAAAGGCAAACCATCGGCGTATTGGGCAACACTTATTCTATTATGAAACATATTGCAGAAAGTAGCTTTGTTTTGTAATTCTAAATCAACAAGAGAACATTACAGTGTATTTTATTGCGTATGGTTTAACTAGCCCTATGCTATATTGAATCGCAGAATGAGCTATCATAGTGCCAAACAGCTTCACGAGCAAGTATATGACCGGAGAGGCAAGGGAAAGAAAGGCAAGGTGGTGCTCCAAAGCCTTTCCTACATATACAGAAGCCATAATATACCAACAGCAAAATACCGCTACCAAACGGCAAAAGCTCCCCGGCGGTATATGTCAGAAATACACAATGAGCTATCAAAGTGATAACGAAGAAGGAAAACTTCTGAAAACAGATCCCTTGATAAGTCTGATAATCTTTCCACGCGTCATAAAGTTCTTTCGGATCAAGTATCGCTCTGTGTCGGTTTCATCAAATATGCACAGCACTAAATATCTAGAGGGCATCATGCTATACTTAGAATGAGTTTCTACTCGATAATGTGGCCGAAGACACTCAAACATCAAGCCTCGCGGGCTTGAAGAGTATAGCTTAGTTGGATCATGAATTTGATTACTGATCATCTTTGTGGGCTGAAGTCTGAGTCGTCTTACTATAGCTTTAGCAGCTATGCGGAAGAAGATACGAGCTGGCTCACTTGGGTTCACAATATGTGTTTCTCTTTCTGAGCGCACCGCAGCGGAAACTTTTATTGACTTAAGTAAGGCCTTGGGCTAACTGTATTTCTTGGGTTATCCGGCCACCCGGCCGCCCTTCTAAAATTGAAGCCATACAAAACACCATATAGTTGCATTTGTATAGAATAATGAGTGGTTCTATGGATTTGGGCAGTTTGTAATCTTATGACCCTCTACATTGCAACCAGAACACCTAGGTGGGGCGCGTCTAGGAGCCGATTCAGCAGGTAAAGCCCCATCTGCCTGTATAGCTTCATCTGCATGTTCTCTGCTTTCTATAAGCGCCCTTGCTTCCTGAACTGATACACTTGACTCTATTTAAACCTGCTTTTTAGAGCGCTTTTGCTTTTTCAAGCCGCTTTTCATGAGCGGCCTGGTATTGCTCGATTTGATGCTTTAAAATAGTTACCTCAGCTAAAGCCTGTTCAGCACCTTTTAAAATCTGATTTAAATTCAGGGTTGGAGTTGCCAACCCGTTTGCGGGTTATGGCGAGGCCTAGACAGTACTAACCCGCACTCCGAGTAGACTTCGGCAGAGCCCAACCTTGGGCCCAGATCTTCGGCCCAAGGCCCAACCTACTATGGGCCGGGGGTTGAGATTTTGGGCCCAAGCCTAATCCCCAGGCCCATGATAGGCCCCCAATGGGCCTCTATAGAAGCCTATTTATATATAAAATCTGATTCTTGGTATTTATAAAGCTGCTAAGTAATTAAATTAATATACTGTTTTTTATATTTATTCTAATTTATTTACTGGATTTCTTTATAATATTGTCTAAAGACATTAGTAATTTTAAGAAATATCCTGGAAATTAAATTAATTATAACTTATTTTAAATTAATTATCTATAAAATTCTTAAATATTAGCTTATTTTAGTAGTATTTAGATGGCTTAAGGATAAGCTTAATATAAATATAGTGAAATATATTTTCTGGAGAAAAGAAAATATATAATAAAAAAAATACTTACTTTAGCTTTAATCTATTAATTTTCTATATTAAATTAAAGCTAAGATTCTCTATTCTTTATATATTAAGTTTAAACAGTTATATAAAAATATAACTTTATATAAATTTAGTTTTTTATTATAACTATATTACTTTATCTGACTATAAAATTTTTTAAGGATTTCTAAGATTAAGTGGGCTGGAAATAGGCTATCTATAGGCTTTTACTAAGTTTTTATAAATATTAATAGACTAAGTTCGTTAGGCAGAATCTGAATAACAGGAATTTATTAGAGACCGCGGACAGCTTCTGCCGAAATGGGATGGTCTTACATATGTTTTCGTAAAAGGACCCCAGTAGTCCTTTGTTATGTCGAGATTATGTGTCTCGGTGGGTGGGATGCCTACAAACTCTATTTGAGCATTTTGCGGCTCTGGGATGGGCTCAGATTTGGCGAGATCTAGTTCCAGTATAGACCAGTCCAGACAGCTATCAGAGTCATTCGTGTACACTTGATCACATTGGTTCTGCGAGAGATTGAAATTTGCGTAGTAACCCATTATGTCACACAGCGGGGGCAGTTCTCGTTATATGTACTGAGAATAGTGTCCAGTAATGGGCTAGTTACAGCGCTGAGAATATTTCCGGTGCATTTAGACTACTTATCTGGCCGGACAAGATATTCTGGGCCGTGGGGCTTTATGAGAATCACTCTCGTCCGCAAGTAGGTATACATAACCATGGTAAGAGTGTCAGTGGCTGAGATTTAAGGATTGGCATATGATAGGCCAGTGCAAGAAGCTGTCACAGAAAGTAAACTCCGCACGGGGCTATTGAACGTGAACTTTAAACTTCATATGGAACTTGGTTCCAGACCAAATGTAAGCCAAAGAGCATTGTCGCATCCTTTTTGTCAGGCTGGTTCAAGGTGTTCAATGTAACGTCAACATGATTCAGTCAATATAAGAAGCGTGTTTAATGGCCTAGAAATAACCGGGCTCAGCAGATTTACTAAAAGTCATTTCTGTACTGGTCCACACTAACTGTTACCCGTTGAGGATAGAAGCTATATAAAAGTTCGGGTAACTGTGCCGATACTAATGACAGTAGCAAGCAACTTAGGACTTCATGTTTCAACTTCTGAGAAGTTAACCAGTTGCTGACCTCTTTCTGTGCAGGGAAACGGGCTCAAAAGAGCTCGGGGAGCTCCAAGGGAGCCAATGGATTCTGCATGCAAGAAAACATTGAATATATTGAGGAGAATATGACATCCTTTTATTTCTTGGAAAGAAAAGAGGGGAAGTTAAACGGAGAAGATCTCAAATAAAAACAAAGATGGTAGAATATTTATACAAACTAACAAAGTCCTGTAGATCACTAGTAGCGACCTATCTTATCTAGAATCATAAAGGTGTTACCTGGTATAGAGGCGCCGACAGTGGTTGATATCGAATATAAGACGAGTGAAGTAATGAGCAGAAGTGGCGCGTAGAATATGTATTTCGTGGAGGAACCGGGCAATATCTTTCCAGCGTCCCACCAAGTAGCCTTGTTGTACGTCCGTTATAGGGTTGAGCACTATCAGTTTGGAAATAACAACCCGTATATCTGCCAAAGGATGGGGTATTCTGATACATGTGCAAGGCAAATATATCTACTTAAACTACGTATTACAAAACTTTGCTATACTTCCCATGTGAAGCGTTTGTTCCATAATTTGCTCTGAATAATATCTTAACAGCAAAACCGGTGGATGATCAACACCCCCTTTATTAAGGTGATATGCTAGTCACTGCATATTTCCAAGATAATATCAGGGCCAGGTGGCTAGGGCGCATCATTGGTTACGCAATCTCTTCTGAGATCCTCTGAAAGCTTAGCAATCATGCATCGAGCTTCCAGAATGTTTCGAGCGAACGAGGCGGCGAAAGTACTATTCTGTGGTGTCCTAACGGGTAGCTTTGCTGAAACACAGTTACTTTCAGCGGCAATGGGCCAGTCAAAGTACAACTAAGGGAGATAAGTTTTGTTGCGCTACCGAACCGGAAATAAGCTCCGTCCAATTACAGACGGATCTATTCATGATAATGATGCAACGAGCGAAATATCATACTGTCATCTATAATTGCTGGCGACATTTATTGGAACAAAGTGGAAGTTGTTATGGGCTGCCAGGGTGATATGTCTCCATCCACTGTTTCCCTGTATAATATCTCCTGGCTTTTCCCTACCCGTTGCGGATCGCACGCCTTCTAACCCACTCACTCCTATAAGTGATGTCACCACATATTTTTCAAGGGTATCTTTGCCTTTCTGATCCGGTCATAGACATTCAATGGTAAGGGCTCTATTCTCAATTCGGATCAATTGGTGTTGTAATTCAAAGGAAGATTAATTGTTGTTCATTATTTCTCTAAACCCGAGGGTTTATATACAAGTTGAACATCAGATTGCCAATCAATCTGATCCTTATACGGAATTTATTCATCATCAGAAGCTCTATAGTTTACCTGGTCAAGCCTCAATTCACAACGGTTAGCTCCATGATATATCTGCTTCAATTTGAATTATCGTGCAATTCTACATATTAAATGTCTAATATTAGCTACCTCATCATCTTAACTAAATCCTACAAATATAAATTGCTCAGGTCCATGTCTCCTCGCCTTAAAAGCGACTTCTCCTCCAGTGCCTCCTGCCTAACAAACTGAAATAGTTGCAGGAACTGATGCTATACTGTTTTGTTTTTCCGCAAAATAACAACAGCCCTTAATAGAAGATTAGGTTAAGATGAGCGCCATGCAATCTGTGAATCAAGACTTGAAAGCACTAAACTGATATCTACCTCTATGGCCCGCAAGGCAGAGGCACAGGTGCAAGCTCTATGCCGAGGACAAGGTCTATCACCAGGCCTTGTCCAACGCATTCAGGTAGCTGCTGTACAGGCAGTAGCCCTATATGGAGCGGAAATCTGGTGGCAGGGTCAAAAGGATCGAGTTAGGGGTATCCAATATATGGTAAATAGACAGGCACGCTCTATTACAGGGATGCTGAAAACTACCCTAATTGAGCCACTTATCAAAGAAGCAACTCTATACCCAGCAGAAGCCCTGCTAGATAGGTGCCAGAGGCAGTATACCCTAAGACTACTGGGGTTGCCCAAGGGCCATCCGGCTCAGGCTATTCTACCGGTGAGCTTCCGCACGGCGGACTGCCACGCGCAGCCTGGGAAACAGCCTATAGATAACTGAATATGGGCAGAAGGCCCTAA